CCAACCCCATCCCATGCCGTGTCCCCATTCCCCCGGGTGTCCCCAAGCTCCAGGACACTGCCAGCCCCATCCCACACTGTGTCCCCATTTCCCCGAGTGTCCCCAAGGCTGTGGTGACACCGCCAGCCCCATCCCACGCCGTGTCCCCACACTCCCCCGAGTGTCCCCAAGCTCCAGGACACTGCCAGCCCATCCCATGCCGTGTCCCCACACTCCCCTGAGTGTCCCCAAGCTCCAGGACACTGCCAGCCCCACCCCAAGGCTGTGGTGACACCGCCAGCCCATCCCACGCCGTGTCCCCATTCCCCTGAGTGTCCCCAAGGCTGTGGTGACACCACCAGCCCATCCCACACCGTGTCCCCATTTACCCGTGTGTCCCCAAGGGTGTGGTGACACCACCAGCCCATCCCACACCGTGTCCCCATTCCCCCGGGTGTCCCCAAGGCTGTGGTGACACTGCCAGCCCCATCCCACGCCGTGTCCCCATTCCCCGAGTGTCCCCAAGGCTGTGGTGACACTGCCAGCCCCATGCCACACTGTGTCCCCACACTCCCCCGAGTGTCCCCAAGGCTGTGGTGACACCGCCAGCCCCATCCCACGCCGTGTCCCCGCAGGGGCCAGCCCCATCCCACGCCGTGTCCCCGCAGGGAACGTGGTGAACGGCACCATCGCCCGGCAGATGGTGGACATGCTGGTGGAGTCGTCCAGCAACGTCACCATGATCCTCAAGTTCTTCGACATGTTCCTGAAGCTGCGCGACATCGTCTCGTCCGACGCCTTCCGCCACTTYGTCACCGACCCGCGCGGCCTCATCTCCAAGAAGGATTTCCAGAAGGCCATGGACAGCCAGAAGCAGTACGAGCCCGAGGAGATCCAGTTCCTGCTCTCGTGCTCCGAGGCCGACGAGAACGAGATGATCGACGTGGAGAGCTTCGCCCAGCGCTTCCAGGAGCCCGCGCGCGACATCGGCTTCAACGTGGCCGTGCTGCTGACCAACCTGTCGGAGCACGTGCCGCACGACCAGCGCCTCAAGACCTTTCTGGAGCAGGCCGAGAGCATCCTGGACTATTTCCGRCCCTTCCTGGGCCGCATCGAGATCATGGGCGCGGCGCGGCGCATCGAGCGCATCTACTTCGAGATCAGCGGCGCCAACAAGGCGCAGTGGGAGATGCCGCAGGTCAAGGAGTCCAAGCGCCAGTTCATCTTCGACGTGGTCAACGAGGGCGGCGAGGCCGAGAAGATGGAGCTGTTCGTCAACTTCTGCGAGGACACCATCTTCGAGATGCAGATCGCCTCGCGCATCTCCGAGGAGGAGGCGCCGCGCGACGAGGAGGAGGATGAGGACGATGAGCGCGAGGATGAAGAGGCGTCGGGGGGCGAGGGCGCGGCCGGGGGGGCGGCGGCGCTGCCGGGGCTGGGGACGCTGCGCCGGCTCCTGGGGTCCCCCCAAACCTGGCGGCGCC